CTTTTTAAAAAATGTTATTCCCCTTGTCCTAACAAGAAATTTAAGCTTCCCATCTTCATCCCAAAATTAACAATTTCCCCAAAATATTTTCCCCCACTTCCCCAAAACCCCCAACTCTCCATTTAAAAAACCTCCTCTCCTATTTTTAACTGACAAAACCCCTTTGTTTCCCCAGGCTTCCTTAAAATGTTAATCTCAACTCCCAAAAAATTTTTCTTATTTTTTAACAAAAAATTTTTTTGTAACATCTCCCCCTTCTATTTGCTTCTTTTTAAAATTGATTCCCCCACTCTTTAAAACCCCTTTTTTTCCCCCTATATTCTTTCTCCTTTTCCCTCACTTTACTTTTTTAAAAATTTTCATTGCTAACTTTTTCCCTTTTCTACTCTCTTTTCATATCAAACCACCCCAAAAACCCCCTCCTTCCCCCCCCAAACCCCCTTTCCTGTAAACCAAAAAACTTCCCGCGGAAAAACTCTAACACTAATTTTTTAAAAAAATACCCCATACCTCTTCGAAACCCCTTGGGCCCATCCTCATTGCCCATCTATCCTCCAATAGCTGTTTTTATCTTACCCTAAAGCCTCCCCCCCCATTTTAGTTTATAAACCTTACCTTTTCTCTTCCCGATCTTCTTTTTTTCCTTGTATCCCATCTAAACCCTTTTTCCCCTCAGTGTAGCAAAAAACTAAAAAGTGATTGAAATATCTTGGCCCCTCTTTATACATGTACATCCTGGGAAATTATCAACCCGTCCCTTTTTTTTCCAATACCCAAAACCAAAAAAACTAAAGGTTTTACTTATTTACCTCTTTTTTTTAAAAAATGTATCACCTAAAACTAAACCCCTTTCTATACAAAGTTCAATCAAAAGGGGCCCCCTTATCATTCACCACCTGGGACCCTAAATTACCTACCCCCACCCCTTTTTAAAAAATTTCTCCCGTTTTTTGCTTTAAAGGTTTCCCCCACCACAAAATTTCTCTCTCACTTTGGGTTTAAAGGTTCCTATACATTTACTTAACCCAACTCCCAAAATTTTTCTCTCTCCTCTACATCCCCTCTTCCCCAGGTCAAAACAAGCTTTTTATGGAACCCCACAAAATTTTGCATTTCCAAACCTTTAAATTTAAAACCACATAATCCCTTTAATTTAAAACATTTATATTCTCTTTTCTCCTTCCATAACAGATCCTTTTAAATTACTGGAAACCCCTTCCTTAGCTCCCAATTTTCCAGAACTCCCGATTTTTCCCTTTATTTCCCCCCACCGAAACTCCCCCACCCCCCTTTAAGCTTTGTTTTTGCTTAGGGCCCGGGCAACCAACTTCTTTTTTTCATAAAATCAAACCCAAAATTGTTTTGGGCCCCCGCCCCCAAAATTTCCCCGCAATTCAAGCATCCCCGTTTTATAAAGTTTTTCGTCTTCTCCCTTTTTTTGTAAATGTCTACAGGATAAGGGGGGTTTCTACCACGCTTCCCCCCTTTTTGTTTTCCCCATAAAGAAAATGCAAAGGCTTACGGAGGAAAGATTCTTTTTTCCAAATTTTCCCCAATTTGGGCAAAAAGAAGAAATAAAGAAAACAAGAGCTATTTAGAAAAAGGGGTAAAAACTTAGGAAAGTTAAAATACAGCAGGGCCCCACTTTACGGGTTTCACCCTTTAAAGGGTTCCCCTAATACGGTCAAATTTTAAAATTATACCAAAAAAACCCCTATAAAGGCTCCCCCCCCTGGGCTTTCTAATAGGGCCAAACCCCCGCCCCACCCTGTTTTGTTTACATTTTTTCCCTGAGCTCAGGAAGCACTAAAATCCCCTCCTTTTGTCTGGAAAACTCCAAAAAAATTTTAAAGTTTTTTTAAAAATTATTTCATATTTAATATATAATCTGTTTTTTTTACTTAAAGTTTTACCCCGTATTAAATAAAATTAAAATACTGTGTGGCTGCAGGTTTCCATTAAAATCAGTAAAGTGTCTTATGTCTCCCGCCCTCATATTAGTAATGTAATAATAATCATCGAGTTCATTTAAAAAGTCATATAATTTCGTTTTTAAAAAACATTTTCATTAATTTCCCTCTATGATATTTTTTTTTAAAATTTATAATAAACACGATACATAATATAAAAAGATGATTAAATAAAACCCCACAATAGAATAAAAAACATAAATATGGGGATGTTTGGAGCAGACGACTTCCAAAAATGACGCCCTATTTTAAAAAGAAAAATAATAATTTAAAAAAAATAAATAATAATAATAATAAAAAATAATAAAAATCACCAAAATCTCATTAAAAATTTTTATATTACGTTTTAAAATTTCACATTTTCATTAAAACCATTTCCCTGATATTTTTTTTTTTAAAATTAAATAATAAAAACCCATTTCATAACATAAAAAGAGAAAAATTACACCCAAAAATGAATAAATAAAAAATAAATATGACATGTGGGAACCCGAAAAAATTTTCAAGGAGCCAAAAATAACATTTAAATAAAAACTAACATAAGGGGAAAAAGTGTTACTTGGGGGGGGAACTGTAGAAAATTATTTCCCTTTTGTATGAAAGAAAATAAATTTATTTTTAGGGGATACACAAATACAGTTACAAAAGATTTTCATACAAACAACATATTTTTAGAGAAAACCTAGGAAAAACCCAAAAAAAAGTCAGGTGACTTTTTCCCTTGGGCCCTTTATCAGAGCATTTATTTTTTCTCAAAAAGATGTTTCATGGAAAGGGGGTTTTCTTTTTATTCTACCATATCAATGTAGAACATCCTTACACAAAGTAACTTGTACACAAAACCCGAAGTTAAAAAATTTTTTTTACCAAAAAATTTTCCTTCGCCTGGTTTGTTTTTCAAAAAACTTGCGCCTTTTACTCTCCTTTATTTTCAAAAATCATTCTTTCTCTCTTTTTCAAATTTTTAGTTTTCTCATTTTTTTACCTTGACCCCCCATTAAAGACTTTCAAATTTTTTAAGGGAAGTAAAGAGTGAAAGTAATTTTCTTTTAAACACTTGGGGTGGGTTAAATTTAATAAATTTTTTTATGTAGGTGGGTTGGCCTTGGGATGGTTTGCCCGGCTGACTACCCCTTTCATACCACACTTTTATTTCTTACAATTAAAAAAACTTTCCATCTCACCCTAATTTTTAAGGTAAGTAATGAGTGAACTGTATTTACCCTTTTTATTGCTCTGGATCTTAAAAAATCCCTAGGGAAATTGTATGTGTGGGTGGGGTGATGGGAAAAGTAGGGCCCGGCATGGTAGCCTTGGCCCGACTACCAAACCCCACACTTGAATTTTTTTACATAAAAAAACTACTTGTCTACCCCCAGATTTAAAACTATAAAAATTTTAAAAGGGAAAATAAAGAGTGCACTATGGGGTGAAAAGTACTTTTTTATTGGGTTTTTTTGAAAGCCTGGTTTTTATTGCTAACTTAATATATGTTAGTGAAAAATTGTTATCTAGGTTTTTTTTGCAATTTGGGAAGTGGAAAAAAAGGGTGTTCCACTTTACAGCGGTTTCCGCTTTTCGGCGGGAGCCCGGAAACCCCAACCCGCCAAAAAAGTGGGGCCCTACTGTATATAAAAATTTTATGTGGGGTTTTTTGTGAAGTGTAACCCAAAAAGGGAAGTAGGAAATAGGAAAAATATCCCCGTTAATTTGCATTTTTAAGAGACAGAAAAAACACCAAAAAATCCTACCCCATGCAAAAAAAGTTTTAAAGGGTTTTTGTTTTTACAGTCATCTGGCAGGGGCGGAAATACTTCCCCGGGTGGTTTTCTGTTACCAACCATACCCACATTAAAATTTTAAACCTGTTTCCCCTTTACAGCTCCCAAAACCCCTTTTTCCCTTTTAAACCTGACCATCTACAACTCCCCAAAACCCATCAAAATCTGCTGGGAAACCCTCTACATCCCCACAGTAAACTACATTTTCCTCACCATCTACCTGTCTGCTCCTACAACTTCTACAATGACTGTTGGACTTTACAGCACCCTGACTTGAGATTAAATAATTTTGTGTCACCTGTTTCACCCCACAAGGAAAATACTGCATTGTACTGCCTTCTGTAAAACTCTTTTTACCCACCAGAAAAAATTAAAAAAAATTACTTTATTTTTAATTTTATTGCATTTTCCTGTACTTTTTAACCCCCTTTTCCTTTTTAGGTACTTTACAGGTAATACAGCACGGGCTTTAGGTTTTTTCTTAGTATGTCCCCGTTGCCCCTTTAATTTAAACAGATTAAAAAAACTTTTTTGGGTTTTTCGGGTTTTTTCAGTCCATGTCTGGTAGGGCGAACCCAATAACAGACTGCATCCACTTAACGAAATGTTCAACCACCCTAATTTGAAAATTTTTAAAAAATCAGACCCCAAAATCCTCCCCCAAAAAAACCGTTTTTTGGGCAAAAGTTTAAAATATAATTGGGGTAAACCCCGGGAAAGGGTTGGGCCCCCGTATTCAGTTTAAATTTTTAAAAATTTTTTTAAAAAAAAAGCAAAAGGAAAAAGGCAAATTTTTAAATAAATCTACTGTGGGATCTAATATAGGGATTAAACACACTGGAATTAAAAAAGTGAAAATAAAAGGGGTTAATACAATTTTTTCTCAATGATTTTGGGCCATTATTTCAAAAGCCATTTATTTTTTGAGGCCCTTTTTTAACAAAATCATCAGGCCCCCGGCATAAGGTTTTTGCCCGGGGAAAAAAAATAAAAAACCATGTTTTAGTAAATTTAAAAAAAAGGTGTGGGTTGGAGAGGTTCATCCTCCATATTTGGGGTGCAAGATAGACAGCTTCCAAACTGTACTCCCCCTACCCGGGGGTATTTCCCGGAAAGAGTTTCCCGGGGGTCCCCCCCTAGCCCGTGGCCCGGGTTCCCTGGTTTGGGTCCCAAGGCCCCGGTAAAAATTTGCCAAAAACTTTAAAAACCTTTAAAAAATAAAAAAAAAGTCCCAAATTGTTAAAACCCCCCTCAAGGCCCAAATGAAAATACAACTTGTCTGTATTGCTTGACGGGGATGACCAGTACTGTTCCATTGGTAGTTCAAGTATGCAAGCAAGATGAATGTTGTTGATCCTGAAATTTAAAATACATAAAATTTCTATTGCCAATATTTATATATAGAAATATAGTATACTAAAAAAAGGGGGCTTAAAATGTAAAAAAAAGTGTGTACCAAAAAATAGACTTAAAATGTAGAAACCAAGAATGAGGCTTAAAATATAGTTGGGCACCAAGAAAGGGACTTAAATATAGTGGTACCTTGAGTTTTGAACTGCTCCCAAGTTGACCAATTATGTAAGTAAATTATTGTAAGTGCTTTTGTAAGTGTATTTTTGGGGGTCTGAAATGAACTAATCTAATTTACATTATTCCTTATTGGAACAAATTTGTTTGGTAACGGCACTTGAACAGCCTTCTGCAATGAAGAAAGTTCGAAACTTGGGGTACCACTGTATAGAAATCTGCAAAATAAAACCAAATGCTGAATAATATTCCATATACAGGAGGGTCCCACTTACATGGTGGGTTAGGCTCCAGGTTACTGACATAAAGCGAAAATTGCCATAAAACGAATCACTTTTTTTCACTTATAAATGCTTCCTAACATGTTTACACTATCATAAATTAAGTCAATAATAGAACTAGGCATTAAAGAAAATAAAAAAGTAAAATACACACACAGTACACTCACTCTTTACCATAAAATATTTGTAGTATTACTGGAGGGTGAGAGGTGAGTAGTATTTATTGTAGGAAGTCAGGTGTGGTAGGTATGGTAGCTTGCCAGGCTACCAGACCTAAAGGTAACATACATATAAAGTGGCCCTGAGCAATAAAATACACATACAATGGACTCATTATTTACCTTAACCCCTTGACTGTCGCAACCCTAAATCCTGAGTTGTCTCCTGGTGTCGCAAAATTTCCGAAAAAAAAAAAATACTATTTTTTCTTATGAAATGATAATCTTTTTCCGATTGTAATGACACCAATAGAACGAAATTTGATGGAAAAACTGACAGAATTACGCTCTCGCGAAGTTAACGACCTAGGTGATATTTGCGAATCGGCGATTTCGCCCACTTTGAGCCCTATTTTTGGCTAATTCCATTGTTCCAGTCGACCAAACTCACAGCTATTTTTTTAGAACTCCATTTTTTCTATTGACTGAGTACAAGAAACTGCCCATTTACCGATTTCAACTACCCAATAACATGGCCAGAAATTTGCAATTTGGCCAATTTCACGCAAACTAAAAAATACAGTGGTCCCTCGTATTTCGTAGTTAATCTGTTCCTGGAGTTGCTACTATTACCGAAGTCTACGATTTGCGAATAAATTTTCCCCATAAGAAATAATGTATATGCAAATAATCCGTTCCTGACACCCAGAAGTATTAAAACAAAAATTTTTTTTACATAAAATCTAATAGATGTAGTACATAAACAACACAATGGGAAATGATGAATGAAACATTAACAGCATAACACTTACCTTTATTGGAGATTCTTCTTAGTGTATGGGAGACTGGAGGAGGAGAGAGATTGGATTGTTTACAGTTTGGAAGGGGAATCCCCTTCCATCAACACCTCAGGTACCAATTGCTTTTCTGGGGTTGCTTCTCTTCTCTGTTTCTTAATGCCACTAGGACCACCTTGAGAGTCACTGGAGTCCTGTCTCACAAAATAACTGTGGAGAGAGCTCTGTTTCTGGCATCTCTTTAATACTTCCCTAAAATGGCCCAAGACTTTGCCACTGTACATGTTGCCAACATGGCTTGCAACAACCTTGTCAGGGTGATGTTTCTCCATAAAGCTTTCCATCTTACCCCACATAGCAAAAATATCTTTAATTTCTGATGAAGGCACCTTCTTCCATCTCTCTTCCTCCCCCTCTGCAGCAAGATTCTGAGCTGCAATCTGTTGCTGTTCCTGCTGAAGCTCTTGCAGCTCCTCAGTGGTGAGCTCTTCGTTGTGGTCTTCCACCAATTCTTCCACATCCTCCAAACTCACATCCAACTCCATGGAACTCCCCAGTGCCACAATTGATTTAACAACAAACATAGGCTCATCAAGGTCAGTCCCAAACCCTTCAAAATCCCTCTTGTCAACACAATCTGGCCACAATTTCCTCCAAGCAGAGTTCAAAGTCCTGGTAGTCACTCCCTCCCAAGCCATACCTATAAGGGTTATGCAATGGAGGATGCTGAAATGTTCTCTCCAAAATTCCCTTAGGGTCAAGTGAGTGTCTGTGGTCACAGTCAAGCACCTGTGAAACATTGCTTTGGTGTAGAGTTTTTTAAAGTTTGCAATGACCTGCTGGTCCATGGGCTGGAGGAGAGGAGTGGTATTCGGGGGCAAGAACTTCACTGTGATGCACCCAAACTCCTCGAAAATTAGGGCATCCAAGTTTGGAGGATGAGCAGGTGCATATATATAGTGCCAAAATAAAAGCATTCACATTGCTAAACTCACAAACTAGTATTTAGTCACTTAGCCATAATACCAACTTATCTCATAATTTTGTAATATTTTAAACTTAAGATTTAATTTAAGTCTGCCCGAAATGCCTAGCCATGAGGTGTTCTAGTGGTACACTCTGTAATTATTATTTTACTACATGTAAACCACACAATAACCAAATTCTGTAAACTCAGCGTTGTAATCCTTATAGAGAATAAACTTTGAAATGAATTGAATTGAATTGAATTGTCCATTACTAGCAGGCACTTGAGATCCAATTTCTTTTTCAGGAGGTAATTCTTCAATGTAAAAAGAGAGCAAATGAGAGAGTGGGTGAGATGTTATCAACAAATTTTGTTGAAAATAAGAAAAGTTTTGGAGTGAGATTAACAAGTTAAGAAAGCCTAGAGAACAAATGGATTTGTCAGTTAAAAATAGGAGAGGCGAGTTATTAAATGGAGAGTTAGAGGTATTGGGAAGATGGAGGGAATATTTTGAGGAATTGTTAAATGTTGATGAAGATAGGGAAGCTGTGATTTCGTGTATAGGACAAGGAGGAATAACATCTTGTAGAAGTGAGGAAGAGCCAGTTGTGAGTGTGGGGGAAGTTCGTGAAGCAGTAGGTAAAATGAAAGGGGTTAAGGCAGCCGGGATTGATGGGATAAAGATAGAAATGTTAAAAGCAGGTGGGGATATAGTTTTGGAGTGGTTGGTGCAATTATTTAATAAATGTATGGAAGAGGGTAAGGTACCTAGGGATTGGCAGAGAGCATGCATAGTTCCTTTGTATAAAGGCAAAGGGGATAAAAGAGAGTGCAAAAATTATAGGGGGATAAGTCTGCTGAGTATACCTGGTAAAGTGTATGGTAGAGTTATTGAAAGAATTAAGAGTAAGACGGAGAATAGGATAGTAGATGAACAAGGAGGCTTTAGGAAAGGTAGGGGGTGTGTGGACCAGGTGTTTACAGTGAAACATATAAGTGAACAGTATTTAGATAAGGCTAAAGAGGTCTTTGTGGCATTTATGGATTTGGAAAAGGCGTATGACAGGGTGGATAGGGGGGGGCAATGTGGTAGATGTTGCAAGTGTATGGTGTAGGAGGTAGGTTACTGAAAGCAGTGAAGAGTTTTTACGAGGATAGTGAGGCTCAAGTTAGAGTATGTAGGAAAGAGGGAAATTATTTCCCAGTAAAAGTAGGCCTTAGACAAGGATGTGTGATGTCACCGTGGTTGTTTAATATATTTATAGATGGGGTTGTAAGAGAAGTAAATGCGAGGGTCTTGGCAAGAGGCGTGGAGTTAACAGATAAAGAATCACACACAAAGTGGGAGTTGTCACAGCTGCTCTTCGCTGATGACACTGTGCTCTTGGAGATTCTGAAGAGAAGTTGCAGAGATTGGTGGATGAATTTGGTAGGGTGTGCAAAAGAAGAAAATTAAAGGTGAATACAGGAAAGAGTAAGGTTATGAGGATAACAAAAAGATTAGGTGATGAAAGATTGAATATCAGATTGGAGGGAGAGAGTATGGAGGAGGTGAATGTATTCAGATATTTGGGAGTGGACGTGTCAGCGGATGGGTCTATGAAAGATGAGGTGAATCATAGAATTGATGAGGGGAAAAGAGTGAGTGGTGCACTTAGGAGTCTGTGGAGACAAAGAACTTTGTCCTTGAAGGCAAAGAGGGGAATGTATGAGAGTATAGTTTTACCAACGCTCTTATATGGGTGTGAAGCATGGGTGATGAATGTTGCAGCGAGAAGAAGGCTGGAGGCAGTGGAGATGTCATGTCTGAGGGCAATGTGTGGTGTGAATATAATGCAGAGAATTCGTAGTTTGGAAGTTAGGAGGAGGTGCGGGATTACCAAAACTGTTGTCCAGAGGCCTGAGGAAGGGTTGTTGAGGTGGTTCGGACATGTAGAGAGAATGGAGCGAAACAGAATGACTTCAAGAGTGTATCAGTCTGTAGTAGAAGGAAGGTGGGGTAGGGGTCGGCCTAGGAAAGGTTGGAGGGAGTGGGTAAAGGAGGTTTTGTGTGCGAGGGGCTTGGACTTCCAGCAGGCATGCGTGAGCGTGTTTGATAGGAGTGAATGGAGACAAATGGTTTTTAATACTTGACGTGCTGTTGGAGTGTGAGCAAAGTAACATTTATGAAGGGGTTCAGGGAAACCGGCAGGCCGGACTTGAGTCCTGGAGATGGGAAGTACAGTGCCTGCACTCTGAAGGAGGGGTGTTAATGTTGCAGTTTAAAAACTGTAGTGTAAAGCACCCTTCTGGCAAGACAGTGATGGAGTGAATGATGGTGAAAGTTTTTCTTTTTCGGGCCACCCTGCCTTGGTGGGAATCGGCCAGTGTGATAAAAAAAAAAAAAAAAAAAAAAATTCTTCACACTAGGGCCAAACACTTCATTGAGCCACTCGACGAAAATTTCCCTCGTGACCCATGCCTTACTATTAGATTTCCGAAACACACACAATTTACTCTTCATAACATTGTTTTTCCTGAACACTCTGGGATTTTCAGAATGGTACACTAGTAATGGCTTCACTTTGAAATCCCCACTAGCATTAGCACAGAACATGAGCGTCAGCCTGTCTTTCATAGGCTTGTG